ATTCAAGAACAGAAGCTTGAGAGGAAGAGTTCTATTTGACCCTGTTTTAAATGCAACATATAGAGGGGACTTTTTCATGGTTGAGTGATTGTGCTGGTTTGGAATATGGAGAGATTGAAATGGGTGTTTCTGGCCATTAACTGTGTTGTGGCTGCTTTTCTGGATCAGTCTCTGGGGCTTGATGAGGAAGGTCAATACCTTTTAGAAATAAAACAGAGCTTCATTGATCAATTCAATCATCTCACTAGCTGGAATGTTAATGACCCAACTCCTTGTGGATGGAATGGTGTGAATTGTACGTATAGTTACCACGATCAAGTCGTGTACTCTCTCAACTTGAGCTCGATGAATCTCTCCGGATCTTTATCTCCTAGTATTGGCAAACTGGTTGGCTTGACCTATCTTGATCTCTCTTTCAATAAGTTGTCCGGAAATATACCGGGAGAAATAGGCAACTGTTCGGGTCTCGAGGTCATCAAATTGAACAATAATCAGTTTGAAGGCGAAATACCAGCGGAATTGTGCAGGCTGGGGTGTCTGACATCCTTGAACATCTGCAACAACAAGATTTCCGGGCCTTTTCCTGATGGGCTCGGAAACCTTTCCTCGCTGTCCGAACTGGTTGCATACTCGAACAACATCACAGGATCGCTGCCACGTACTCTTGGGAATCTGAAGAGCCTGATGACTTTCCGTGCCGGACAGAATTTAATTTCTGGAAGTTTGCCTTCAGAATTGGGCGGATGCAACAGTTTACAGCTTCTCGGTCTAGCGCAGAACAAGTTAACGGGAAACATTCCAATGGAACTCGGAATGCTCCAGAGCTTGACTGACTTGATTCTTTGGGACAATCAGCTTTCTGGGGTGGTGCCTAAAGAGCTCGGAAACTGTACAAGTTTAGAGACTCTTGCTCTTTACAAGAACAATCTTGTGGGCGGAATACCGAGAGAGCTTGGCAACCTGATGTTTCTGAAGAAGCTGTATGTATACTGGAACCAGTTAAACGGAACGATACCAAGAGAAATTGGCAACCTTTCTTTAGCTACAGAAATAGATTTCTCGGAGAATTTCCTGACGGGGGAGATACCGATTGAGTTTGGGCGTATTACAGGGTTGAAATTGCTCTACCTTTTCCAGAATCAGTTAACAGGTGACATCCCCAACGAGCTTGCTGACTTGAAGAATCTAACGAAGCTCGATCTGTCCATCAACAGTCTTACTGGTCCCATCCCTTTGGGGTTTCAGTATCTGACAGAGCTTTACAGGTTGCAACTCTTCAACAACTGGCTGAGCGGCATCATTCCTCCGGGGCTTGGCGTTTATAGCAAACTCTGGGTGGTTGACTTATCGGAGAACTTGTTGACGGGGAAAATTCCCCGGTATCTGTGCATGAATTCCAATCTGATTTTGCTGAACTTGGGGTCGAACATGCTCACAGGTAATATTCCTAGGGGAATCTCGAACTGCAAGTCCCTCGTGCAGCTTCAGCTCGTCGGAAATAACTTCCAAGGCACTCTTCCACCAGATTTATGCAACCTGGTAAACCTTTCTACTATCGAATTGGATCAGAATAAGTTCAGTGGTCCCATACCTCCACAAATTGGTGAATGCACAACACTGCAAAGGCTTCACCTTTCCAATAATTACTTTGTGTCTGAGTTGCCGAGAGAGATTGGTAATCTCTCTCAACTGGTGACTTTCAACGTCTCGTCAAACTCGCTTACCGGGCAGATTCCACCCGAGATCTTCATGTGCCGGAGGCTTCAACGGCTTGATCTGAACCGTAACAATTTCATGGGTGCTTTGCCGAGTGAGGTCGGAAACCTTTCCCAATTGGAGCTTCTCATGCTTTCCGATAACAGGCTCTCGGGCACCATACCTGTCATGCTTGGGAACCTGAACCGATTGACCGAGCTAGAGATGGGGGGGAATTCGTTCTCCGGGGCTATACCGGCTGAGCTTGGAGCGCTCTCGAGCTTGCAGATTGCCCTAAATCTGAGTTACAACAACCTGTCTGGGGAAATCCCACCTGAGCTTGGGAATCTTGTTCTCCTGGAGTACCTCCTGCTCAACAATAACCGCTTGACCGGTTCGATCCCCAGCTCCTTTAGGAGTCTCTCAAGCTTACTAGGTTGCAACTTCTCGTGCAATGTCTTATCCGGACCTTTGCCTTCTTTGTTGCTGCTCGATACCATGCCTGTGAGTAGCTTTCTCGGGAACGAAGGGCTGTGCGGCGGACCCCTCGGAAATTGCAATGCCTCTCTGTCTTCACCTTCTTTACGCCCAGAAACAAACAGCCAAAGTTCAAAATTAGCTAAAGTTGTCACCATAGTAGCAGCTGCGATTGGTGGGATTTCTTTCATTTTAATCCTAGTTGTCCTGTTTTTTATGAGAAGGCCAGTTGAGACTGTTGCACCTTTGCAAGAAAAACCGGTTTCTTCGCCAGTCTCCGACATTTACTTCTCCCCAAAGGAAGGTTTCACTTTCCAAGACTTGGTCATGGCAACCGATAACTTCAGCGATAGCTTCGTCATTGGGAGGGGAGCTTGTGGGACGGTGTATAGAGCGGTGTTGCCAACCGGCAAAACCATCGCTGTCAAGAAGTTAGCGTCCAATAGAGAGGGAAACAACATGGACAACAGCTTCCATGCGGAAATACTGACTCTTGGGAAGATCAGGCACCGGAATATCGTGAAGCTATATGGCTTCTGTTATCATCAGGGCTCGAATCTCCTCCTTTACGAGTACATGGCAAGGGGTAGCTTAGGGGAATCGCTCCAAGGGTCAGCCTGCAATCTCGATTGGCCAAGGCGTTTCTTTATTGCTCTTGGAGCCGCAGAGGGGCTTGCGTACCTGCACCATGACTGCGTGCCTCGGATTTTCCACCGGGACATTAAATCAAACAACATCCTGTTAGACGATAAGTTCGAAGCCCATGTAGGAGATTTTGGATTGGCAAAGGTTATCGACATGCCGCAATCCAAATCTATGTCCGCAGTGGCAGGCTCTTATGGCTACATCGCCCCTGGTGAGTATCAATAGGAACCCCCACCACCCCCCCTCTCCCTCCGCCTTCAAAGAAATCTAATTCCAAATCAACGAGCCGTCGAATTACACGCAATAATTTGGTTATGAATCAGCAATCTGCCTTCAAGTTATATTCTAAAACACCATCCATTTGACAGATCTAGGACTCTCATAATGTTCTTGACCTTGAAATGGCAGAGTATGCATATACCATGAAAGTTTCCGAGAAGTGCGACATCTACAGCTATGGAGTCGTCTTGATGGAGCTGCTGACAGGAAGGACACCGGTGCAACCCCTGGAGCAAGGTGGCGACCTCGTGACTTGGGTGCGAAATTACATCCTAGAACACTCGTTATCTCCCGGAGTGCTTGATGTGAGAGTGGACTTACAGGACGAGAGCACCGTATCTCACATGATCATGATCTTGAAGATCGCTCTGCGTTGCACGAGCATGTCTCCATCAGATCGCCCGACGATGCGGGAAGTCATCGCGAAGCTCATTGAGTCTGGTGAGAGGGAAGGGAAGTTTAACTGTTATCCTAGTGATGACACTGATTAGAGAAAGGAATCTTGAATACTCTATATTATGACATTGAATGACTCAGGTTATGTAGGATGATCTTTTGGTGTTTGATTCATCCTTGTTTTATCTTATTAGAGATAGAAATTACTGCTTGTACATTCCTGAACACTGAATTTTATAGTTCTCTGTTTCTTCCGTATACCATTTTCTTTCATTGATCTTCTCATCTTTCTTTTTCTTTTTTTTTCTTTTTGCATGGTAAACAGCATTTACTTACTTGATTATCAAGCAGCAGTTGACATACTACAAAGGATTGAAATGAGGAGGCACTTGACTTGGTGACTTGTGGCTTGAATATCAATTTGATCATGGGAGTTTACCCTTAATTATCGACTTTAAAAAATAAAAAGAGCAGAGGCGGAATGAGGAGCGAAATGATTTTCTAACTCATCATTTATGAATCATTTTTCGGCGATAAGCAAATCCAAATTTTTACACAAGTCCCACGAGCAAATTCTTTTGAATCTCCAAAGATGCTCAATAATTTGCCTAAAGTCAAAAGGCAATAGTTATGCAAATATAAAGTAGGTAGCAAACATTAGGCGACATTTTCGTTGACATCGTTTCCATGTCTGAAGAATAAAAGTTGATTTGCAGAAGCGTGAACAATAGTTGACTTGCGATGATCTCAAGAATAAAAGGAGCCTAATTTCGGCGCAAATGTCCTCTTGATCAACAGAAGCATGCTTGACATTGATTAATGGATACTGCAAGGTCACAAGTGTCTTAATGAGCGTCCCAAAGTCTTGTTTTTCCCGGAAAAGCACTAAATCCGTTGTTTTTACAACATCGGAATTCTTCTAGCTGTAGTGAATCTATTCCCGTGACATGATAGCTTATGATCGCCGGTCGCTACTTTACTTTTCGCTCAATTGCCTTTCTGAAAGGTCATCAGCAGCTTGGAATGCGTTGGCATTTTCGGGATGCATCAAACATGAGAATTGCCAGCTTTGATATTGTGACGTTCGACATCTTACTCAGTGTCGCATGCATTGTGTCAACATCCAAAGCTGCTTTGAGAAATTATCGTTTTCTTTAGATGCAATAGTTTCACAACCGGATGTATGAATGGACGGTGCGGAGCAAATAAGGACGTGTCACCAAAGTGAAGCTCGTGAGTTGCTGAATAAGTTGGAAGAGAAGGAACTGCTGTTCGAATGATAATACCTAGCTACAATAACAAGTCGTCCTGCTTCGAAGTTTCTATCCAATTCAGTCCATAAATCGAACTTGGGAAAGTTCTCCCTAGTTGAACCGAACCAGATCGACAATTTCAATTCGACCTGAGTTCAATTCAAACCGGTTCAAACTGTTCCATGCTCATTTAAGTGTGTCAACAGCAAAATAAAGTCTGCTCATTAGGCTATTCAGCTCGATTATTTCGATCTCTTTGCTCCCTGAATGACTGAATTTCAAATTAATCACCGCTATCACCCACTCGTAAAGCTCCTAAATAAGTACATTAAGAATGATCACGAGGCTGGAGTGTGGCCATCTTGGAATTCAGAAATGTACTTTCTACCTCCTCGATCTATACTCGATATATATTATATCAACTCTCTCCACACATTTTCGGCAAAAAAAACAATACCATAATAAAAGAAACTATAAGTGTGAACATTCTTGAGTTCTCACTAGCACTGGACCTGGACGATGAGCTTAAGCTGAGCAAACCGGAACCAGACATCTTGAGATGAACCCCAGCATCTTCTTCTGAATCAATGTGAGAGGAAAACGTGTCAAAGCATTCATCAAAGCGACAGTCTTCGTAAATAGATCAACCGTATCAACAAGGGAGCGAGAGAGAGACAGAGACACTGACCCTCTTGGTGGTGCGAAGGAGGTCAGGGGAAATTTTGTAGAGATCTTCATCGACGGGCTTCGGGGGTCGTCTTCGTCGGGCCATTTGAGGATAGGCGACCGAACCGGCGTCGTCTTCTTGCAGTTTATCAACAATCTTGTTCTTGATGTTGCCAGTCCGTGACACGTAGCGCTGTTCCTTTGGCGGTTCTGGGACGTCACCGTCGCACGTTCTAGATTGCTTTTCTGACTCCTTGACATGCGCAAGTCGCTTTTCCCTCACTCTTGTCTGCTAGAGAGACGGGTCCCGTTACAACAGTTTTCACATTAACAAAATGAAAATTAACACAGGCACACCATTTTTAAGGTCGCTGATCCCTTCGTAACATGACCTATGCTTGGATGTTTCAACAAAACCGAAGGCGAACCAACCTTTCGAGGAGGGACACCAAGAGGAGCAGCACGAGGATGATGACGACGATGTTGATGTCTCTCTTCAGACAAGCCAGCACCGACGTGTGGCTGCGGCCGACCGCATTCGCCGGAAGAAGAAGAAGAGCAGTGAGAGCGGACCAAGCCAGCTTGCCTGGCGCACTCGAAGTACTGGGTGATGGGAAGCTGGTTTGCGTAATCCCAGTTCCCAAACGCCGGAATCTGCCCACTCCTCTTGTGATAATTCTCCTGAGTTGTTGCACCGAACACAACCAAAAACAAGCTTCAGACCCAAAAGAAAAAAAGGAACAGAACTCGGTGACAAAAGACAGATAACAGGAGTCAAACGATGCAAACTTACTTCCATACCACACACCCCAGCACAAGAAGCCAAGAACAAAGAGACAGAGAGAGGGAGTGGAAGATAGAGTGAGAACTGAGAACAGAGAGAAAAAGACGAGCTGATCTTTCTGTTTCTTGTCTCTTTTTCTTTAGGATTTTGGGGGATCTTTCACTAGATGGTGAAAAGGGTTGAGAGCAAAAAAGGTTAAAAGGAGGGAGTCGTCTCGGGATTGCCCAGAAACTCCAAAGGCTCCAAACTCAAATCTGGCTATGCGTTTTGACAGCAGAGAATTTTAGAGAGCAAAATCAGTGAATCGTGATGTTGAAGCTCAAGTCTCCATTTAAAGGCAACACAGCAGCAATGCACAGAGGTGAGGAGAAAGGACTAGAGAGAGAGAGAGAGAGAGAGAGAGAGAAGGAACTGTTGAAAAGGGTGATAGTTTTTCAACCTTTTGTCAGATTGTCCATGCCTCATGAAGAAATGTTACTTATTGTATTCACTATTCACCACCCTCTTTATAATATTTAATCTACAATACCATCTACGGATCTACCTTTGAAACTAGCTTGTGCGGAAAAGGTTTTCTTGAGTACTATTTGTCTTTGCTCTTTTTTCTTCTTTTTTTTTTGACATTCATGTATCTATATTTATATATTTAAGTTTAAAGTGAGTTTTGTCTCACTTTTTGCAACTTTTCTAAATTATCCCGCGATAATCAATAAAAGATATACCTATGCATCCGAGGCAAAAGTAAATTTCGTCTCACTTTCAGTGACCTTTCCAAATTATCTTTATATTAATAAATAAGAAGATATAATTAACATTTCTGAAAATTTCTCCTTTTAATCCACTTGTTTATATATCCGCTCATTTCTTTTTTATACACAACCACCAAACTTTGCCATAGCGTCCCAACGCACTAGTTATTGATTTAAGGAAGAAAACATAAATTCTCATATTTTTTACTCTCACGTTCCTAGTCATTTTGGGTCTGCCTCAAGCGATTTTCATTTCTAACTTTCGATTTTTGCAAGTTATGTTATACTTGCGCTTTGACTTTCATTTAACCCGAAACGCTTGAAAGATGTCAAATATCAAACTATTGACACGTAGCATCGTACATAACTTTCTTTAATTCTTCAAATTGGACATAATATTTTTTGTTATCAAATTTTAAAGAGAAAAACCTAAGTAATAGTCCAATGCTTCTCACCTTTCTTTTATTAACCTGAGTTCACTTGGCATGTACTGCAGAGGAGGAGGAGATGCATTTGAATTTGATGGCCTCAGTTAAGAAAAAGGAAAGCAAAGTGGAGTTTAGGTGAGAGTGCACAGTGCTAAAGAAAAAGAAAAGAAAGGGGAAGGAGGTTCTGAATTTGATTGTAGTGGATGGTGACTTTGCTGGATTTTTCCTACTGATGATTTGGACATTTGCGTGTTTCCCACTTAAAGACCCACTCATGATGAAAAGGAACTTGTTAAGAAGAATTGATGTTGTTGACATATATATTGATTAATTGCACTATATTTATATTGAGCATTCGAAGATGGTTCATTTTTCTAATATTCATTTTCGATTATTCTGCATGATATTAGTTTTAAAAATAAGATTTAGTATTGCTAGAGTGCAATATTGGAGGGGAAAAAGTTTCCTTATTGGTGTTACATACTATTGCTGTGTACACATGCTAAGGAAAAAGAAAATTATAAAAGGACTTATACAAGAAACCGCATCGGTGTAATTTTTCTTTTGCAAAAGGCACTTGTAAGATCAAGACTCATGTGCGTCGCCATGTTAAATATCAGTCATGTGCACACATGTTATGATTTCTTTTTCTTCTTTCTTTTTTGGTCATGACACATGTTATGATTTCAAGAGCATTATTTATATAAAACGATTGCATTATTGGTATCTCAATAAAAATCCAGAAAAATACCGGTCCATGAAATGTTTGTGCACTTCAGAGGGGTTTTCTTTTGAATCAGTAATAGGATAAGAATGGGCTATCAATATTGTCGATCTCCTAAACTTTACCCAATGAGTTCTACACAAGTAGTCTGAATGTTTGGTTTTGGCCATATAATCACCGCTCATATCGAGTAATCCGGTTACCGCCGCACCCTCAAACGTGAGTTGGTGTAAACCCCTACACCTATACTTCAATGAGGGGCTCGCTCATAATGCGTTTCGCAAGTTTTGGCAATTATCATATATGACACATGCTCGAGAACCCAAAGTCAAACATTTTGCACACTTGGGGATGAGGTGCCAAATATATAAATAGAAATTACTATTAACCAACAGTTATAATAGCTCAACGGTTCCGTACAAGCTTGTCTTTTATAAGGCCGAAGGATCGAGCGATGCCGCGGGCAAAACTCTGACCTTACTTTACTCTTGCGCACCTTTGCCTCGTGTGAAGAGAGTTTAGGACTACGAACCGCTAACCTCGGATCTTGAGGTCTTTATCGATGCGAAACAGTTACAAATCAAATCGAAAACAAGTATCGGGCTCTCATGGTAATGCCCAAAAGACAGTCAACCATGATTGGGTCACTATAGCAGATTAACATTACCTCATCTAAGTTTTGAATGAACCAACAATTAGGCGTATTAATGATGCTTGTAGATTTTGTAAGACCCCCTTCATCAATATACATCGTTCTTTATGGTCAACGTGTATAATGAGTAGTAGTATACGTCTCTTATAATATGTTTTCTGGGTCAAAGAAGACGGACCTCACCTTATTCATTCACACATGCCTCGTTTGCAATCGATGATGATGAAGAACTCATGCGGGGGAAGTCAAAACGTGTGCCACGGTCTAGTTAACTCGATCACGTTTGACCTAATGGCCGGCCCCAAACACAATCCGATACCCACAATAGTCAAATAAAACTTCTTTTTACATAATTATATTGGCTTTTATATAACCTCTCAAGCTGAAATTGTCAATTCCAAAACTGCCAGTACGCTCCCTACTTTAACCATTATACTAGGACGGATCCACCGTCCTAAAAACTGTGTGCCCTAGTGCAAATCGGACTACCTCTTGCATAGAACAACGTACCTCACACGTTCAACGATTTTCGACGAAGAATCAAGGCTTTTGTTTTTTTCGTGATCCAATGGCTTTCGGGCATTTATAGAAGTGCCCGGCACGCTACATACTTGATGGTCAACTCGATTGCTACTTTCGCATGCATGACTTTTGAGTGCCCGTAATTGAAAAACGAGTGCTTTCTTTGGTGGGGCGATTCGATCTTTATAATATATATGGATAATACTTTTTAAGTGCAAGACAAGTACTCTTTAATGGTATATGCCTCTCTGTTTACATTGTAAAATAAGCAAAAGCTAATTTATAATATTATTCAAATTTTAAAAAAGTATACGTGAATCTATGTATTAAGAGTTAATTTTGTGAAAGTTTCAATAGTTTTTAGATTAAAAAGAAAACAAAGGGGGTTTACGGTGGACTACTAAAAGTTGGCGGTAATAATTGAGATAATTTTACTATATGCTTCCATCAAAATTAATACATGGCTTTACATCTACCACGAAATCTTAAAAAAAAAAAAGAAAGCGAGAGAGATTTGTCACGAGGCATTAAGGACAACTGGAGTCTCGAAATCCACAGTCAAACCTTCTCTGTCGGTTCCAATCTTGTGAAGGAGACTTATTATAGTCAATTATTTGCGAGTAAATTATTGAATTAAATTTTTTGTTTAAAAAGGTCCTGCATCGACCACGTTGTAATAATATTAAATAATTTTGGATGAAGCGATTGTTCCAAATTAAAAATTGGTGAGCTTAGACTCGATTACTTTGATAATCGCATACTAATATTATCAAGAAGAAATCACTTGGCACAAAATAAAGCAAAAGGGAAGTACAAAAGCGCATCTGTAATGTCGCATAAAGTTCGAATAAATCAAGGGTCCTTGTATATATTTATTTAATATCGTAAAATAATGAAAAATTTTCCGAACGATTCTACGCGTCAAAATCAAATGTCATAAGAGGTTTCAGATACTCAACACCAAGTAAAGGTCAAAAAATACAAAAAAAAAAAAGGGACAGAGAGAAAGAACTGATCTGGTTTTCTACACTTAAACAAATATTTGAGTTTTTGTCTAGCAAGAAAAAATAATATCAGTTTGTTTTTCTGAATTTGTACAGATAAAGCATTTCTATTTTATTTTTCCTTACTTTTTGACTTCTAGCTGCAGGGGTTGGTTTTGGTTTTAAGTGTGTGGGACCAAAGGAAGTGGGAAAAACAGGGTGTGAACTCTGACTTGTATCGTTTAATCAAGCGAAAAAATAGAGTGTGAACTTTGACTTTAATCACCTCTTATCTAGTGAGTCACGATCTAATGAGTCAAAAAGTCAATATTGCTACCCACAATGGCACGTCATCGTGACAACTCCGTCCTTATTGCACGTAAATAATTCAAATAAAGAAGGAACATTTTTCTTTTAAAAGGGTAGAAGGTAAAAAATCACTTTGACTTGAGCTCTCTTAGCAAGATTGTCAATAATTTCATTGAAAAAGCAGAACATCTCGCATAATTTTTTACCACCATCTCATAATTCGTGGGCATCTTCATTCGTCAAATGATTACACATAATGATCCGACCGTCGCCTCAGCTAATAATCATTAGAAAGGTTGCCTCGTTAGAGGGATTTCAATGAATAAGATTAGTGTTAAGTAATCTTGAGCAGCTAGCTCAAAGAATTAGGTTTTTCATACTTATAAATTGATCACTAGCCCCTTCCACAATAAATGTGAGACAACCTCAACAATCGTCCCCTCGTGTTTAGTTTAATCTTTTTGCTAAGTACAAACGTGAACATATTTAATTGGGGAAGCAAATATGGCATAGAAAGATTTGAACTCCGGACCTCATACTCTAATACTATGTGAGATTTTGTGAAATCACTACCAATTATTCTAAAAGTTTAAGCTGTTAAATGAAGGCATTGTTTAATATTTAATTAATTTAACATTATTGATAAAAGTAAAATATTTAGAGGATGAATTAGAGATTTTAATTTAGCTCGCGAATCGAGATTAATGGTAATTTGATCTTTTGCGATATTTGAGAGGGACTGGCGATAATATTTATTCGAAAAGCATTTACGATTACTCTAATCATATCTTTTTGGTTTTTAGTACAGGAGTCATTAACCTTCATTTGCTTACATCCTAATTTCAAGTAAATAATTCAAATTAAAAAAGAACAATTTTCTTTTGGAGGGGCAGAAGGTAGAAAAATCACTTTGACTTAAGCCCTCTTAGCAAGATCGTCAACAATTTCATTGAAAAAGCAGAACATCTCGCATAGGTATTTTTTGACCGCCGTCTCATAATTGGTGCGCAACTTCATTAGTCAAATGACTACACGTAATGACCCGACCGCCGCCCCAGCTAAGA